GGTAGAGAGGTCATTCTAGGTAGAGGGGCCTGCATGAGTAGAGGCACTGTGGAGATAAAGGGAATCTTTAGTAGTGATCCATTTTGTTCACAGTACCTAGCACTGGACCTGGAATAGAATGTGTGTTAATGGATGTTTACTTAAACTCAGCGTGGTTTGCGGGAGTCACTGATGATATCTAGTTCCAGTCCAGAGGGAATAGTATTTAAACCATGCTTTAGTGACCCTTTAGTGGGGAGGGGGAACGACTACGCAGCAACGGGACACTAACAGCTGAGCCAAACCAGCCAGGGCTACTTGAACATATTCAAATAGGTGAATTGTATGGCATGCATAGCTCAATTAAGCCTTGGGAAAAAAAGCAGTAAGAACCTGAACTGATATTGGTAGGGTAGGCAGTTAGGCATGAGCAGTGCAGGAACCATAGGCCTAGTACAGAATGTAACCAGGGCTGAAAGTCCTGAGTGCCTAGCAACAGGCAAAACTAAAGAAAACAACTATTAAGTCTAGAACCTTCCCCCCAGAATGACCTTTCCTCCCCTAGCAAGTCATGAGTCATGTGGTGTGGTTTAGACCCCCTTAGAGGAGGAACAAGGGGCCAGAGAATAGCTTCATAGGACTTCCATACATGCCTTTGAACTACCATTCCTTTAAGCATTAAACTCTCAGGACAAGAAGGTTCTTCAGGTTTTTAGACAACAGAGACAGAGTTTTGGTCAAACTAGAGATAACATCTAGGCCTCAGTTGTGTTTCAGCTTCAGGCCCAGAAAAGCAGCAAAAATAGATAAAGCAATGTTGTGGCCCACAGCAAGACCTGATGCAATGACTAATGACCCCCTCCCCTAGTGCCAACAATCTGTAGAGCCCAGGACCCTGAAAGGACACACCTGGAAAGCTGATGAATAGTCTACTGAGATCCTCCCCGAGACCTCCCCGAAAGTCCCCACCTTTAGAGAACTGATAAACACCTTAAGACAAAGGATGCAGTGCATGCTCTCTCTCTCTCTAGAGCACACCTGTGCCTGTCCCCCACTTTTTTCCTTATGCGCGTATTTTTTGCTTTCTCCTAAACTCCAAGGACCCTACTTTTGCTTCTGTAACTTTTTTAAACTTTTATTGATTTCAGAGAGAGAGGAAGGGAGAGAGAAATAGAAACATCTGTAACTTGTTTCCTGAGTACACACAGCCCAGCTGGCTCACTTCTTGTACCTCTGTGACTTTCTAAATAAACTTCTTGCGTTAGAGTTCTTGGCATTGAATTCTTTCTTAGGCAAACTCAAGGGCTAAGGTCTAATTCGGTTCACCGTTAACATCATGAGAGTGAGTGAGAATCAAAATGACCGTTGGGCCCGGCCGGGCATGGCTCAGTGGTTGAGTATCGACCTAGGATCCAGGCGATCGGGGTTCGATTCCCGGTCAGGGCACCTGCCCAGGTTGCAGGCTCGATCAATGACTTTCTCATCATTGATGTTTCTACGTCTCTCTCCCCCTCTCCTTTCCTCTCTCTGAAATCAGTAAAGATATATATATATTTTTAAATCATCTTTTCTTTAAAAAAAAAAAAAATGATGGTTGGAGTTGGCATAATAAGCATTAAGCCTGCCTGGCAGGTGTAGCTAAATGGTTGAGCATCAACCCATGAGCCAAGAGGTCACCAGTTCAGTTCCCAGTTAGGGTACATGCCTGGACTGCAGACTTAATCCCCAGTGGGGAGCGTGCAGGAGGCAGCTGGTTGATGTTTCTCTCATCGATGTTTCTATCTCTCTATCACTCTCTCCTCTTCTCTCTCTAAAATCAATAAAAACATATTTGAAACAACAAAACAAGTATTATCCTGAGGCCCTGGCCAGGTAGCTCAGTTGGTTAGAGTGTCGTCCCCATATGCCAAGGTTGTGGGTTCAATCTCCAGTCAGGGCGTGTACAAGAGGCAACCAGTGAATGCATAAATAAGTGGAACAACAAATCAATATATGTGTGTTTTTTTTCCTCTCTCTCTCCTTTCCTTTCTCTCTTTCTAAAATTAATAACTTTTTTAAAAAATAGAATTAAGCCTAAGTGATTGAGAAAACAGTGGTGCTCAGCCGGGCATGGCTCAGTGGTTGAGCATCGACCTAGGATCCAGGGGATCGCGTTTCGATTCCCGTCAGAGTACATGCCTGGGTTGCAGGCTTGATCCCCAGTCTGGGGCGTGCAGGAGGCAGCCGACCAGTGGTGACTCTCTCATTGTTTATGTTTCTAGCTCTCTCTCTCTCCCTCTCCCTTCCTCTTTTTGAAATCAATAAAGATATATATATTAAAAAAAATTTTTTTTAAAGAGAAAATTGGTCATTATATCTTTTATTTGTCTCGTAGTCTCATTTTTAATAACAATAACTTTTTGAAGTCTATTCATACCATGAAAATCACACAAAATAAAACAAAAATCATTGTTAGGTGTGGCAATACAAATTAATCTCAAAAACATTGTATTGAGTGAAAGAAGTCAGACACAAAAATGTACATGCTGTGTGATTCTGTGTATATAAATTTCAGGAACAGGCTAAATTAATCAATGGTTATAGAAATCAGCACACTGTTACCTGGTGGGATTGACAGGAAAGGAACTTTCTTTCTAGGGCAATGGAAATACTCAGTATCTTGATTGGGGTGGTGATCACACAGATATCAGAACTTATCTACTTGTACTCCTTAGGTCTATGCAGTTCATTGTACGTAAATTTCTCCCCCAAAAGTCACACGAAATAATTCTGGGTAGTTAAGTTACCGATTTGATAAAAGGTTAGATTCATTTATTTCAGGTTGCTTTCAGTTTTAGGGTTTGCTTTTTTCCCCTTTTTTTGTTTTACTTTTTGAATGGCTACCCTAAGGATAGCAAATAGGTCAATGGAACACAACAGAAAGTCCAGAATGGTCAATTGATTTGCTGTTATTGGTGTTAATCCTCACCTGAGGATATTTTTTCCATTGATTTTTAGATAGAGTGGAAGGGAAAGAGGGAGGGGGAGACAGAGAGAAAGAGAGAGGGAAAGAAACACTGATGTGAGAGAGATACATTGATTGGTTGCCTTCTGCACAGGGCCCGACTGGGGCAGGGGATTGAACCTGCAACTCAGGTATATACCCGTGACTGGAAACCAAACCTAGGACCCTTCAGTGCAAGGGGCCGACTCACTAACCACTGAGATAGCAGCCAGGGCAAGAATGGTCAATTGATTTTTGACAGAGGTATCAAGACAATTCAGGGGGTAAAGGGATAGTTTTTTCTTTTTCTTTTTTCTTTTTTTTTTTTGAGGTTTCAATATTTTATTCAAGTTTTATTTTAAGTGATGTTAATTACAGCATTTGAAAGGGATGATCTAATTCCACACAATGGAAGACTCTAAAATGTACCCATTAAACTGCTAAAATATAAACCAAGTGGCAAGAATACAACAGAAGGCTAATTTAGGTTCTGAGTGTTGTCACCATGTGATTACAGTCACAGACTCTTCCCAGCTTGCAGCTGGAGCTCTTAGAAGCTATTTCATACTCTGGTGCAAGGGCAAAAAACCACAACATGAGAGGGAATTAAGTCCTGAATTATTGGCTTCATCACATCCACCTTCTCCACCCCAAAATGGCACAAAAGAAACTACCAAACCCTGCAGACTACTTTTGGTGCAGAAGAGGTGATGGACTGGGGTGAAACCAGGTCCTGAAGATCTGTCTAAAAAGTCCCGTCAGATGAGTTTGAACACACCATCAAACAGTGAGCCTCTCTCAGTTAGGGTGGGAAATCAAGATTCAATACTCATGAAGTTATAATTTCATACATTTAAGCAATACAAATTTACAAAGTGCTTACAAGTCATCAGCTTCCACTTGCAGCCGTGTCTAGATAAAAAAGAAACCTGACACCTCTAGGGGCTGCCACGTTCCCCCCAAGTCCACAGCTGAAAGGGCCTGTTTGGGAATTGGATTTCTTCTGTACCTCTGAAAGGGTAACACCTTAAAGCTGAATCATCTTTAACCTGGAGGTCTAACATGACATTTAGCAATACTTGCATCCCATACAACATTAAAAGGTACACTATATTCTGAAGGTAGCTATGCTGCAAAACAGTTTAAAATTAAACGACTGTAGTCTTCGTTTATGCTTGAAATTCCAGTCCTAGCCCAAGCTTGCGGCCGCCAGCATTGACGTTCTTGCCATCCAGCAGAGCTGACAGTGTCAGCTGGAGAGCTGGCTTTAGTGTCTGAGCATCCTAACCCTATCAGGCTGGAGTTCACTTTAGCCGAGAAGCAGGCGTTAGGGTCGCTCTGACACTGGGCGCTATTCCCAAGCGAGTGCACCTGTTTCCTGCCCTCCGGGCGAGGTTAACGGCGGTCTCCAACTTCTTATTGACCTTCTGATAAATGGAGCCACCAAACTCTGTCCCATCGTTTACATTAGTATGAAGCTGAAATTCATCCGTCTTGTAGCCAATCGCGAAGTCGCTCCGGGCCACTCGCGGTCTCAAAATTCCCACGGCAGCCGCCCGCC